AAGGTGTAAAGGTATTTAAGTAATCCATGGATATCATAGACTTTGCCTTGAAATCACGTTATGGGACATATAATTTACTATATCCAATAACGCAATTTTCAAGGCAAAGACTCCATATGTTAGTTAATTGAAATCGAATTTTTGTTATTAATGTTCCAAATTTACTAGTTTTTGTATAATTGTACGACCGGAAAAACAGTTGAAAACGCTTATGGGTAAATAGGCTATATGATTACTACCTATTTTGTACTGTTAAATCTCTTTGCTTATTTTTTCTAATATTTTCTTGTAGATGTATAATGGCTGATGAAATGGGTCTTGGTAAAACTGTAATTGTTTTCTAAGAGATTTATAAAAGTTATGTTACACGGTTTTATTTCATCCATATCAAGTTTATGTTACATAATACAGCTTCAATGCATCACCCTTTTGTGGACATTACTTAAACAATCACCCTTAGCTGGTAAAGGAACAATAGAAAAATGTATTATCGTTTGTCCATCAAGTCTTGTACATAATTGGGCGAATGAATTGGGTAGGTAGTGGTATACAACTAGGTCCAGTCACGTTTTTATTGCAAGTATTGACGCGTCTCGTTTATTAGAAAAATGGCTTGGGCCTATAAGATTAAAGGCACTGGTTATGGACAGCAAGGGAAAGAAGGAATATGTATTAAAAGAATTGAGACATTATGCTGGTGCTAAAGGAAATTTGATTGTTCGACCAGGTATATATAAAATACATAACATATATAAAAAAAATGTTTAATCTGCAATAATTATTTATCATATTCATTTACGTTTATATATATATATTTTTTTTTAAAAAAAAAAATTTAAAAGTGTTAATCATTTCGTATGAGACTCTTCGAATAAATATAACAGAATTGAAGAGTACCAAATTTGGCTTATTATTGTGTGATGAAGGCCATAGACTAAAAAATTCGAGTGAGTCAATTATTGATATTTAATATATTATTAGGTTCTCTTATTATGTTCATTATTATTCATTCATTTAATTATTCTCAATTTAGATTCCCAGTTATTCCAAGCTTTAAATTCGCT